GGGGCCGAGCCCTGGGGAAGTTCAGAGCCGCCTTCTGCCCCGGCACCCGCTGCCCTGCCAGCGGTGCGGCTGCCTGTGCCCCTCCTGGGGCGCAGCTGGCTGGGGATCTGCATTTGGGGGGAGGAGGGTGGGGAAGAACGCTCTTTTGTACTTAAAACATATTGACAGAGTTTTTGTCTCTTATGTGTTAGGCAAAGTTGTTATAACTTTAGTTATACTGTATCTAATTTCTTTTTTGCACTTCAGGGTAGTTGTAGCAGTTTACCCTGGTTTACCAAAGTGTCACTGTGTGTATCACATTAGATAAATGCATAAACTGAGATTAATATATACAGCAGTAGCTATGGTCTGTACTGTGTGCTGCTTCTCTTTTGGATGGGTCTCTGAATTTCCTGTTGTTTCCATTAATGCACATCCTTTTTCAGGGTCTTGTTCTGGGAATCTACTCAAGTGAAAAGGATGAAGGTGCTGCCCACTTCACTAGTGCAGGAGATGCTTTTGATAGGCTTGTGTCTGGAAAGCTGAGAGAACTTCTGTCCCTGTAAGTGTGTGACAAGCTTCTGAAATGAATTAAAGAAACTTCCAACACCAGTAAGAATGGTATTTTTTTATCATTATTAATGTTTGTATCCAGACCACTTTTTAGGCTGGTATTTGCTTCTACCAGGCCAAGCAGCTTCGAGGGGAACTCCTGTGGAAAAACGAAGCCACTGAGGAAAACGTTGCAAAAACGTTCATGGGAACTGGGGCACATGTTCATGGGAACATGATAACTGGGGAACAAATGTTCATGGGAGCATGATTTCTGTGAATCAGCACTGAGCCAAGTGTCCCAGGACAGTGTTGAAGAGCACTGTGTGGTTGTGGAGTGGACCACACAGTGGGAGTACCATCAGATTTATCACCAATATGGACTTCTTTATTGAAAGCATCTTTTTGTGTCCTAGATGTGGGCCACCTTTGAAGAAAGGCAAAACACACATATTCCATGGCTTGCATCAGGTATGAACTTTGCCTTTTCAAGTGCGTATTGACTGACATGTGAGGTTTGCCCTGACATCTTATTTTAAGCTGAGTTTGCTGCTGTGCTTGTATAAATGCTCTGCTCTTCTTCCTCTCCTCACCCCTCTCAATAAAGGCTGTGTTTCTTACTGAAACCTCCTGTTCAGCCCATGTTTGCATGGCCTTTTGCACAATCCTGTGCTCTCTCCACTGTGCTGCAAATTGAGAAGACATAAACGAGTCTGCTCCAAAGGTGTGGTGCTCTGAATAACTGCTTCCTGAATGAGCTGAAGCACAACAGTTTTGGATCAGGCTTCTACTGTGCCCTCTGTGTTCTGGAGGAGTAAGTACACATAGGCGTGTACAGATACGTGCAAAAACCTTCCAGATGTGACAGTTCTAACAAGGTAGTCCCATCATAGGCTGTAATCAGAGGTTTTAAGGTCTTGTGTTTGAAACCTCTGAAAACAAGATGTGGGACTGTTTTTCAGGCAGGACTTTTGTCTGCACAGATGTGATATATCGCAAGGGTATGAGATGGCGATTCATCTGCTTAAAATTACACTTTCGGTGCCATTTGAGAAGCCCTAATACATCTAATACACCTACATGGAGCTGGCAAATATGGTGCTTTTTTTTGGCGTAGTAGCTATAGGCTAGACAGGTATGTAATATGATGCTAGATGTCCCCATATAAGTAACCAAATCTTGCATTAGGGTTATTTAAATTATATTAAATCAATTTATAGTGAGTATTGCCTACCATGTATAAATTCCTGTGTGGAGACCCCAGACAGGTGAGACTGGACTCAGTAGAAAGGCTCTTGGAAATTTTCCTGGAAGTTGAATCCACTGAAGGTCCCATTATCCCAGTTCTGCACACAGGATGGCCTCTGAAGTGAGTAGCAAATCTCTGCAAGAGAAGGCAGTAGAATTTGGCCTTATGCACTCTAAGTGTGTAAAATAATGATAACTAAAAAAAGGTTAACTTGAATCACGATCATCTGGAAAGCTAACACTAGTTTCAGCATCTTGTGGTCTAAAAGACTTTACTACAGTGTAGCAGTTTGAAAGTTGATTGTTAGAATCTGGCAGAGTATCTATTTGTGATTGAAGGGAAAGCCCAAGATTAACTTCAGTTTTCCTCCAGACCAATGGGAAGTCTGTTCACGTATATATCCTTGAATTTCATACTAATTTGACTTAATTCGTAAAAGGCTCCTGTAATCTTTGTTTTTTCTTCCTTTTTGCCTTCCACTTGCAGCTTATAAGGCAAGCATTTAGTCTGCTGTGCTACGTTGCTTTCCTGAGCTCTGGAGCTTTGTACCTCTGTGCAGCTTTGGTTTGTTACCTGACAAATCATGCCAGCTCAGCTCCTGAGCTGAGCTAATGGGTTCAGCCTTTGAAGTGATTTTATTTCCGTGAACATAGTACTGTGCCAAAAAAGGTTACGCTTCTCCAGCTCAGTTCTGGTCTTTGTTGCAGCTGCTTTCAAAGGACTCTTAGACTTGCCCTTAGGAGTATCAGGAGTATGTGTTGAGCATAAAGCCCTATCCACTGCAATACACATAATTAACTATTAACTGGACAACAGAAAAACTGGTTGCATGCCTGTGGCAAATGACTGGGAGTGCAAGACAGTGGCACCATACCGGCACTCTTAATGTAGAAATGTGCGCAACGAAGAGAAAGTACTGAATGTATTTTAATGCATTTAATGCTTGGCTTGATTTGGAAAGTAAGGTCTTTCTAACAACTCTCTGCTGTGGCTGTAACAATGAGGAAAGTAAATCCATCTGTGTGTCGGCTTCATCTAGGACTTTCCGAGTGTGGTTGTAGTTGGCTTGGGTAAGAAGAATGCTGGAGTAAATGACCAAGAAAACTGGAATGAAGGCAAAGAAAATATCCGTGCAGCTGTTGCAGGTTAACTATTTTTAAATTTTCTTAAGCATTTTGTCTATAAAATCATTACAATGATGCAGCATGTTCCACTTTTGAAGAGTGAGTCTAGATACGATTTTGTTTTGAAATGCAAAACCTACTGCATAGTTTGGTAAGTGCAGTAAATATTTACTTCCTTAGTGAGGAAGGAGTTACAGGGCATGTAAATCAATCTGCAGACAGGTAACTCCAGTTATTTATACCAAATAACTTTCCTAAACAGTGTGATATTGAAAAGGCACTTGTTTAATTACTACAGTTTTGAAGGCTGAGAGCATTCACAGATTCATGCCGGACTTAAGTATGCACATATATTTACTTTTCCCACTTAGTCTGTAACTGAGATACTGTGTTATAAACTTGTATCTTTCACAACATCAGTAGTATGAGTCAGTATGTTATCTGTCCTAGACAGAGGAGGCCTCTTTATCTTAATCAAGGATAACTGCTGCATTTAAGTATGTATAAAACAAGAACAAAAAAAGTTCTTGCCACAGACCGGACTTAAGTATGCACATATATTTACTTTTCCCACTTAGTCTGTAACTGAGATACTGTGTTATAAACTTGTATCTTTCACAACATCAGTAGTATGTTATCTGTCCTAGACAGAGGAGGCCTCTTTATCTTAATCAAGGATAACTGCTGCATCTAAGTATGTATAAAACAAGAACAAAAAAAACAAGAACTCTGCCACAGAGTTTATAATTTGAGACTGGTATGAGCTGTATGTCCAAAGTGCTAGCCTTCGTGGTATGAGCTGTATGTCCAAAGTGCTAGCCTGTGTTGTCTGGCCGACTGCCAAAACTTTGTTAAATTATTTGGGTGCAAAATATAATTTATGGAATATTTTTTGTTTGTGAGTTTATAAAAGTGTGTATAAATTCATTTGAAAGAAAAGAGCAGTCATATTCTTAGCAAAAAACTAAATTACAGCAAATTTCTGATACCTGTAGTCATAATCCATAGCACTCCAGAGTGATAGAGTTTTTCTTTGATAAAGAGTGAGCTTAAAGGAATTGGAACAACTGTGGACTTTCCTTTTTATTCTTGTAAAATGTCTTAATCATTACAGTTCATCAAGTGGTATTTTTAGTCAAAATTTGTCAGTATATGGTCAGTAGCATTTTTAATTATTCTACTGTGTGATCTCTTTAGTCGATTTACTTATTAACTCAGATATCTTGAGTTAAAATTATTTTTTTCCTTGAAATGTGATATTGATCATCTCAGGTGCCTGTTTTGTGTTCTGGGCAATACTCAGCCTACCAGTTCTGTACTGTATTTTTCAGTTGGTTGTAGGCAGATCCAAGATCTGGAGATCCCTTGTGTTGAAGTAGACCCCTGTGGAGATGCTCAAGCGGCTGCAGAAGGCGCTGTCCTTGGATTGCATGAATATAACGAGCTGAAGCAAAAAAAGAAACCGATAGTTACTCCTCAGCTTCATGGAAGGTGATAGCAAATGGGAAGCTTGCCTATTTATTTGTCTGTTTGTTTCTTTGTTTATTTATAAAACTCTGTGCATGCTTGTGCATGAGAAAAACACAAAACTGAAAGAAGAGGCCTAGCAGCAGTATCCCTCTTAACTCTTCCTATTTTGAATTTCCTGAAGTATTTTACATCTCAACTATACTTATAGTGTTTGCTCCGTGGGTTCTGGTAGTATGCCATGTTCTGAGGTTAAGTGTAAATAAATGCTGCTTCATAGAAAAGAAAGCCCAGGATAAAAACAAAGGTAAAAAATTACTTGAAGCATAGTTGTGACGTAAAAGGACTTCTGTTGATACTGCATGCCAAAATTGTGGAGCAGAGGTATTTCAGACTCCATAAATTAATAAATCCTTTTGAGAATAAGGGAATGCTAATTGACACCAGACCATGCTATTTTCTTTCACAGAATATAATGCAAGAAGAGAAGCTTGGGTGCTTCTGGCCTCTAAACAGACATCACTGTTACTTGAGAGCAGAAAGTGATATCAGAGCTTTTGGTTCCAGAACAAAGTTTTATTAATCCCCTTTTAATGTATCAGAGTGGAATTCGTACCTTCCATACAGGATATTCTGTCACGCAGAGGAAAGGTATTTCCCATATGTTCTTCATACAGGAACAAGTCCTTCCTTATGAGGAGGCTGGTGAAATAAAATAAACACCTCTCAATTTAAGCATGTCTTCATAAGCTACATGCAATGCTCTTTCCATTTTGTAACACAGCACATAGTTTTGGAGCAGATCATATTTATATTAAATAAACATTTCCTGAAAACATAGATGGTCCTATGACCATTTATGACACAAAGTTATTTATGTATATAATACTTTAGGTTGGAAAGGACCTCCTGGAGGTCACCTAGTCCAGCTCCAACTTGGATTAGGAATAATCTGAAAATTATGTACAACTTTAAAGCTTGATCAGGCCTTTGTCTAGTCCAGTTTTGAGAATCTCCTGAGATGGAAGTTCCACAGCCTCAGTGGGCCATCTGTTCTAGTGCTGAACTACACTCATGGTGAAATTCTTTTTCTTTATGTCCTATTGCAGTTTCCCTTGTTGAATCTTGAGGCCATTGTCTCTTATTCTCTTACTGTGTAGCTCTGAGATGTGTCTGTCTTCATCTTCTCTATAAACCCTATTTAAGGGCAGAGGAAAGACTGCAAATATGTCTTTCCTAAATTTTTCTTCTATAGGTGAAACAAACCCAATTCTCTTAGCTTCTCCTCATGTCCTCCAGCTCCCTACCCCTCTTAGGGGCTCTTCTTTGGACTTTCTTGAGTTTCTCAGTATTGGTTTTGTATTCAGGAACTCAAAAGCGGACATAGCTAGATGCAACCTCACAAGTGCCAAGGAGGTAAATAATTATTTCCCTTAACATGCTGACTATGCTCTAATCCAACCCAGTACATGGTTGGCCTCTGTCACCGCAGTAACATGCTGCTTACTCCTGTTCAACTCATCCACCAGAATCCCCAGGTTCTTTCCTGCAGCGTCGCTTTCTGCCTTGTCAGTGTCCAGCCTGACTGTTGCGTAGAGCTTTTCTGTCGCAGGTACAGGACTTTACACCAGTCTTTGTTAACCTTCATGGTGTTCCCTTTGGTGCATTTCTCCAGCTTGTCAAGGCCCCTATGAATGGTGGCCCTGCCTTCCCCATTTCAGCTGCTCCCCACAATGCAATGCTGTCCATGATCTTCTGAGGGTGCATTTCATAGTCCAGGTTGTTGATGAGGGTATCAACCCTTGAGAAATGCCACACATAACTAACTGCCAGCTAGACTGTTCAGCTGCTGTCTGCCATCTTCTGAGCCCAACAGTTTTTTCCTCCGTTTTGTAGGCTACCTCTCCAGTTCATGTTTTCTTAATTTGCAAGGATTCTACGTGGAAAACCTCGCTAAAGCCAAGATGAATGACATCCACTGTGGTCCTCTGTGCCAGCCTGGTCATCATAAAAGTCAGTCAAGTTGGTCAGGAATGATTTGCCCCAAGTAAATGTATAATGACTGTTCCCAGTGACCATCTTGTCTTTCATGTGCTTGGAAATGGCTTCCAAGATGACTTTCTCCATAAACTTTTAGGGGATTTAGTCTAGGATAACTGGCTTGTAGTTCCCTATATCCTCCTTGCTATTCTTGGAGAGGGGGACTTGTGGTCCCTGATGACTAGGAAAGGACATTCAGTTACCATGACCTTTCAAACTGGAAGAGATCAAACTTGCAATGATGCCACCCAGCTCCCTCAGCATCCTCAGATGTATTCTGCCTGCTGCCAAGGACTTGTGTATGTCCAGCTTCCTGAAGCAGTCCTAAGTCTATCTTCCTCTGCCATGGGTAGTACCTTTCTTCCCCCAGACTCAGTTACTAAGTACAAAGAACTGGGGAATCTTGAAGCAGGCCTTAATGATTGTTAAGACTGATGCAAAGCAGGCATTGAGAACTTCAGTGTTTCCAGTGTTCAGTAGATTGCCTGCAATGGGACAGCACTATTCCTGACCTTCCTTTTGCTGATGATGTACCTGTTGAAGTCCTCTTGTTGCCTTTCCCACTTCTTGCCAGTTTCAGTGTCTGCTGAGATTTGTCGTCTTACTTCCATCCCTTTGTATCTGGGCAATGTTTCTATATTCCTCTTGGATTCCTCCTTCACTGTGTTGCTCTTTTGAGAGGTGGAATCCAGCTTAATGCCCTGCTTTGATATCTTACAAAGCAGATAAGTCTTTCAAATCTGTCTCAGTAAAATTAAAGGTTTTGTACTGGTAGTGTTGCAAAGCAACCAGAGAGACATCCCCATTTCCGGTGCAGGCAGCTCTTTCATTTATTAGTGAAATGAGATCCAAATTCCACTCTTACCACATAATCAGTAAAGTGAAGAACAGAATTGGAGGCTTTATATGGTAAATCAAAACTTTCAGGGCTATTACAATTAATGCAATTACAAATTTTAGAAGTGATATTAAACCTTGTGCTTAAGGATTTAAGCCAATCTCTGACTAGTAAGTATTAGGACAACACCTAATGTATTGAGCAGATAATTTTACATCTGTCTGCTCTAGGATTCTTCTAGCTTTCTGTGAAGCATTTGGCACTGACAAGAACCAGAGATGAGCTAATAGACTAGATGTACCTTAGATATTATCCTGAATTCCTTGTAGTAAGATTACTATGATTTTCTTAATTGCCCCAAATTAATGATAATTGCATTTTCAAGCAGGAGAGAACAGATGGGTGCTGTCATCTTACTTTTGCAAATGTTTATGATCCTGATTATTGTATGGTGGTTGTCTAGTGCTGAAAGTGAGGCCTGGCAAAAAGGTGTTATCTACGCTGAGGGTCAGAACCTCGCTCGGTACCTTATGGAGGCTCCAGCTAATTATATAACTCCAATCAAATTTGCCGAACATATTGAACAGAAGCTCAGAAGTTTCAGCAACGTGAAGGTCCATATAAGGTAAACTCCGCTGGAATGATTCCTCGACAGGGTACGATACCTTCTAGGCTATTCAAATATGCAGCGTGCTTCATTTTCACTGTGCTGCTTCAAATGACAAAAGCAGGGGAGGTGTTTGGCAAAAAGGTACGAGGGTGCCCAGACTCTAAGCTACTCTCAGTATTAGAAGGTGAGCTTCAAGTTTGCAGAGTAAGCAAGATATTGTGACACAGTAAAATGATTAAATGTCAATTAGTCATGCAGTCAATCACTGCTTAATTAACACGTGCTGTGAAAGGAAGCCTGATAAAGTAAAGACTCGGTGAATAGGGGACAAATACTAGATACCTATTTTCTAACACCTTTTCTTTTCTTCCCAAGTGGGTTTTATGCATACTTTTGCTTTTTTGTTTGGATGTGGTAAATAAACATCCTCTATTTATTGCTGGTACTGTTGGGGCTTTTTTTTTAAGCTTTTAAAAGTGTTGAGATCGAGCCATAAAAGCCCTTGCAACTGCGTTTGCACAGCTAATGCTTCTTGCCTCTGAATTTCTAGTTACTGCATTTTGGTGGAAATGGACTAACTGGTTATGCAAGTGTTGCAGGCTATTTTCCTGAAAAGCAAAGGACTGAGGGAAATCACTGTTGCCTACAGTTAACTATCTTGATAGCAGAAAGCTAAACTGTAACTTGCTGCAATATTGTTACTTCATATCCCTTCAGAGACTACAGCCTCCTGTGCAAAGGAAAGTTTAATATTTCCGATGCAGAAAGTGCAGATGTTTTTATTGTTTTGTTTGTTTGTTTTAAACAAGGCAAAACAAAAACCAAGCAGTAACTTTAAGGAAGAATTTTTCTGTTTTGCAAAAAAAGTAATAATGGTTGGATTTAAATGATAGTTTCCAAAATAACTAACTAAAATGAAATTAATAGTTTCTGTATGAACCTTCAAGAATCATGATCTCTTAAAAACAAACAAAATTACCTTGGTCAAAGTGTCCAATTACAAAAAGAATTAATACATACTTCTATTCCAGACCGGAGTCTTGGATAGCAACACAACAGATGGGAGCATTCCTGAGTGTAGCTAAGGGTTCGGCTGAACCTCCCATCTTTCTGGAAATTCACTATTTAGGTGGTGCTAATACAAATGACTCCCCGCTGGTATTTGTAGGAAAAGGAGTTACATTTGACAGGTATGTATGCTAATATTTTAATGACTAGAGGGGGGGAAAATGCCTTCCTACTTCATGTTCAATGGGGAGATGATTTTTCTTTGCACAGTGCATCTTCCAGTGCCATTCCAGGGAACTTGCCTTATATAGTAGATGGTGCTGCCCTTCCTGGGACTAAGACAAGCTTCAGTGTTGGGACTAAATAGGCATTGACATGCCCTTGTCTTCTAAGGGAGAAATGGAAATTCAGGGGGAAAGAAAACAGAGGACGTGCTATTTCTTCTTTTTTGGCCTGAGCAAACCTCTGGATGAAGAATTTACATGTTTAGAATTGCAGTCTGTCACTGGACATCAAGGTCATGCTTAAGGAAAAAACAGTTCATACTTCACAGCAGTTCCTTGTAACTGCTTTTCATGTCACATAACTACTGAAGAATTTATCAGTCTGTTTCTCTTCCATATGCTGATTTTTACCAAGTGTACTATTTGATTCTTGTTTTGTGCACTTCTGCTGTTGTGAAGACCACCGAGTTAGTCTGCTGCAGATTACCTAGGTTTTTATGGCATCCCAATTATGAAGAAATAATGCAGGGACATATTTTATCTGCAGTGAAAACCCAGAGACCTTCCTTGTGGTATGTGTCCTAGGGTGTTGCAGGAATACTTGATAATGCCAAGTCTAGCATTTACTGGTATTTGGTGCTAAAACATACTGATGGACAGATATTATAAACATATGCAACATCGAACTCCTACGTGTTGGCTGATACTCGTGCTGTTTGTTCCAGTGGTGGCATTTCATTGAAGCCCTCATCAGGTATGGATGCAATGAGAGCAGATATGGGAGGGGCAGCAACTGTTTGTTCAGCCATTGTGACGGCAGCAGCTTTAAATCTACCTCTTAACATAATTGGTAAGTGTGTGTGTGAGAGAATCCAGAAATCTTATTTTTACAAGATTTTGTTTAGGCAGTAATTTTCTAGTATCACCAGTGGTTAACGGTCTTACAGTAATGTCATGGACTCTTGCAGACCTACTTCTCTCATTCCCTTCCTCAGCCACTTTTCCTTTTTTACTTCTTTATAAAACAATTACTAGCTTTGCTTGAATAAAATATTACAATGCCAAATTAAAATCTTGAAGGCATTATTTTTAGATGTTAGGAGAGAAATTATTGCCAATTCAATTAGTTTTTCAGAAGTCCTGATCCTTTCATTACAAGGAGGAGTGTGGATATCTGTAAAAGCAATTAAAAATGAAAAGGAGTTAGCTGAGCTACCTCTATGAGTGTTTGCCACAGCTGAACAGGAAGAGGGATCTGTTCTTGTTTCTTTAGGTGAATAGCTCAGCAGAAATCTCCAACAAACAAATAAAACAGTCTGCTGATAATATTTTTAAGGATGAGCAATGCTTATTTTTTTCTGCAGAAATGTTGCATAGCTAAAATTAAATGAGTTGCTTAAGGAACCGTGTCAAAACAAGTTGCTGCTGACATGTAATCCATTCTAGGCTAAGTTTTATGTTTGAGAACCTGGCTCTCAGGGAACTAGTATTTTAGTCACTTTTATGCTTCAGCCAGTAGAGGGCAGCGAAACGCACCCTCGCGACAAAGTATGCAATGAGCAGGGCTAAATCAGTGGAGGAAAAGTCTGTGTACATAATTCCACTGAAAAGTGGTGATCCACAGTTTGCTTATTCCTTGTGCCAGGAGCAGGTTTTCCCTAGGAATGGAGTGCCTTTCATCCCATTACCCCATTCATAATTGGAGTTTTGATCCTGACCCTATTTTTGCTCGTCTCTCTTTGCTCTTATGGTTGGAGTTCTATGGCGAGTCCTTGGACCTCTCTTGACATTACACAATGTTTATTTACAATGAGCAGAGCTTGAATGGCTCAGAGTGTTAATTTGAGAAATTTTTAATTTCAGAAAGAAAGAAATCCCTTTACATGTGTCTAATTATTCCTATATGGAAGACATAAGATGGTATTTGTTGCTGCCTTGATCTCGCTTCTCTGGGCATAAAGTAGAAGTAAATACTAGTGGTAAAATGGTGTGGGTGAGAGAATGTGGTGGTGCAACATGCAGAGGAATTTCCCTGATTGAAAACTGGACCATGTGTCTTTCAGTAACCAGGAAAATTTGGATATCGAGCATAAATTAAAGATCATAGAATCACAGAATAGTTTGGGATGGAAGGGGCCTTCAAAGGCCATCTAGTCCAACCCCCCTGCCATGAGTAGGGACATCTTCAGCTAGATCAGGTTGCTCAAAGCCCCGTCCAACCTGACCTGGAATGTTTCCAGGGATGGGGCATCTACCACCCCTCTGGGCAACCTGTGCCAGTGTTTCACCACCCTCATTGTGAAACATTTCTTCCTTATATCCAGTCTAAATCTACCCTCTTTCAGTTTAAAACCGTTACCCCTTATCCTGTCGCAACAGGCAAGATGAGCATAGTACTGTTTTCTTAAGGAGGTGTTTGGGTTTTTCCTAAGTGTTTTTTCCTAAAGTTTTTCTGAGAAAGAAACATAATCCACTTCTCTCTTTCTCTCTGAGGTTTGGCACCCCTCTGTGAAAATATGCCCAGTGGTAAGGCAAACAAGCCGGGGGATGTAGTTAAAGCCAAGAATGGAAAAACAATACAGGTATGCATGTGAAGCTTGGATTTTGAATACTTTTAGTGAATTTGTTTAATCCATCAAGTTATATGACTGCAGTCAGAGTACATGTTTGAAGGGACCCTTTAAAAAGATAAGCAGTGCAAATGTACTGTTTTTAAAAATGTAAGAAGTTCTTAATTAGAAATTGCTATATTTGTTGTTATAATTGCTAATAGGATTCTTTCAAACGTAAATATAGATTTACGAGATTAGACGTGTTTTATAACTTGCTAGGAAAAGCTGAAAAGTCTGGTCATTTGCTGAACATGCTAGAAAATCTTGTTTTAGCACTAGAGGTTTTTACAATGTTCATAAATACAGGTTCTCAGTCAGAATGAATAAGATATTAATTGCTTCCAGCAGACCCTTCAGGACACTTCCCTGCTATCTGGAGTAAGACATAAGA